ATGCCATCAAAACCACGTAAACCTGGGGTTCCAGGAAGACCAGGGCGTCCAGGGGGTCCATCATCTCCCTTTAATCCAGTAGGGCCCCTGGGGCCAGGCAGGCCATCAGGTCCAGTAAATCCTTGGCTTCCAGGTGGACCAGAGTCACCTACCAATGGTAGATATCGCAGGTAAAATCAAAAATCAAAAAGACACTCTAAGATTGTAAACTTGGGCAGGCTCAGAGCTGGACAACTTTCTATTTGAGAAGAAAAAAAAGGTTGAAGAAAAGAAAACAAACCTTTTTCTCCAATTGGTCCTCTTTGTCCCTGGGGTCCAGGTGGTCCTGGGGGTCCTGGCTGGCCTTCTCCATCAACACCTTTGGCTCCATCAACACCACGTGCTCCAGGTGGTCCAGGAAGTCCACCTTTACCATTGTCACCTTTTTCTCCTTTCAAACCATCTTTACCTGGGACACCAGGGTCACCAGGCYGTCCTTGGTTAATTTGTCCCTGCGTATTGTCCCAAGAAGTACCTGAAATTATGAAATTAATTTGATTATGTCACCTGCGCCAAAATGGATCATGTGACTTTCTTTAGTTGCCTATCCAGGTTCTTTGATAAATGCAAAAAAAGATCATCCTTTGTTTTTGGGTACCTTTTTCACCAGTTGGACCTGGTAATCCTTTAGGACCCAATGGTCCTCTTTCTCCTTGAGGACCTGGKAATCCTGGCCTGCCCTGGACAAATAGTCCTTTTTCTCCCTTTTCTCCTTTTGGACCAGAGAATCCTGGTGCACCTTTTAATCCGTCTTTTCCATTCACTCCAGGTGCACCCTAAATAAAATGACATTAAAACATTGAAGGTTGAAATCAATTTACTGGGAATCATAAAAGTAAGTAGAAAGAAGGCATTTAACCAGTGAAATATAAAATACCAGTCAATGAGTAATAGCCAAATAGACACAAAAAACATCGAAATTAAGGTCTATTAATGAGTATTAACCTAATATCTATTCATAGGTTTAATGACTTTGCTTTTAGTTATTTATTGGGAAAATTAATGACTTGACAGCTATTTTATTTATTCTATTCTTTTCACAGGGTTGTTCTGTTTAGCTAAAGCTAGTTTAAATGAAGCTAGTTTTTCCTCCGATTTTTTTTTTTTTTTTTTTTTTTTTACGGGTTTTTTTTTTTTGGTTAAATTGTTTTTAAAAAAATTTTTTTTTTCCCCCGTTTTTTTTTTTTTTTTTTTTTTTTTTTTTTTTTTTTTTGCTTAAATTTGATTACTATATTGTTATTTACCACATTATCATTGAAAGTCATCATAATGTCRAATCCCTGAAGAGTCATAAGCATTTCAAAAGTACTGAAAACATGATAGCTAGGCTGGTAGGCCCTTGGTTGTTGTTTCCATACAAAATTTTCTAATTTCAAACAGCTGTAGTTTTTTATCATTTAATGTTACTCGTATACTGAAATTTTGGAAGATCACTAATAATTTCGATATACTCTTTCTAATGAAAGTATTGTTGTCTCCTATAACTGATGAACTAAGGTATCTCAAGGGACATGCCCTTTTTCATATCGTCTATCCAAGATGTTTCCTGATGCATATGTATGCTTGGAAAAATACCCATTCAAGTTTTATACCAACCTTTAGACCTATGGAACCAGTTGGACCAGGGCTACCTTTTTGGCCATCAGCACCTGGTCTACCACGGATCCCTGGTGGCCCAAATGGTCCTGGTGGTCCAGATGTACCAGGTGTACCTTTCTCGCCTTTAATTTTGATCAGTTCTCCTCTGTCACCTTTTGCTCCATCTTTGCCTTTGATTCCAGGGTCACCAGATGGACCCTGTTTGAAACAAAAAAAGAATATTGTGACATTACAAATGACTTAACTTGTTAGTGCAGCATTTGGGAAAGCAATGTTAAAATACACYAATGCTTCATATAAATAGAAGTTTTTGTTTTGATAAGATGCCACTGTGTTAACTTAACAACAGACTGGTTTGAAGCTCAGATTTAGCTTTATTTTAGTGTCAAATATTCACAAATAGCAATGGAAAAGTAAATAAGCATAACTTCAACAGTACAACACTTTGAAATTTCATGGAATTGTCACTTGTACACATGAAAATCCTATACAAAATTGAGGCTAACCAAGCTGCAAGAACAACAGAGAATTAAGAACTGAAGAATAAACCATCATTTGCTTGGTGTCTTTTGTTGGGGTGGGGTGGGGGGTGGAGGGAGGGTGGGTAGGGATTTATAGTGTAACATTTTAACAATATTTTYATTTAATTCTTTATTTTGCATTTTACAGAATTTTAGCTTCAAGTTTCATTTCTTTTAGTTATTGAGAACCTCCCAGAAAACAGCATGTATATTTGTGATGGGTGCATTCTTTGGAAAGATTTATTATTACTATTATTATTATTATTAATAATAATTACCATTGGTCCAGGTCGTCCAGAACGTCCTGTAGTACCAGGTTTTCCAGGTGCACCTGGTACTCCAATTTCACCTGGAGGTCCAACAGCTCCATTTTCTCCTGGAAGGCCAACGCTACCTTTATCTCCTTTTGGACCAGCAGGGGGCGTAGGACATGGGCCACATTGATCTCCTTTAGGTCCTTGGGGTCCTGAAGGCCCATCATTTCCTTGCACACCTGGGAATCCCGGTTCACCTTTTTCTCCAGGTGGGCCATTGGTACTGCTGCCTGGTGGTCCAGGGAAGCCTCGATCTCCCTTACCTCCGGTTTCACCTCTTGGTCCAGGAAGACCATCCATTCCAGGATCACCTTGAATGGTAAAGCCGCGGGGACCTCTGTCACCTGGGGTACCAGGGTCTCCTTGAGCTCCAGGTTTTCCAGGTGGTCCTTTCATGCCAGGAGAGCCTTAACATTGAAGTTTGAGATCAGAGCACTGTTAATTTTCTTAAGGATGTTTATGGGCATTATTTGCAATCTTCCTTTCTACGCACCAATTTAACACCACCCATTCATCGTGATGTTTTGACAAGCAAAATATCGTGAAAACTTCTTTAATTTTTTGTAACTCTAAAACAAAGTTGGGAACCCCACTTTTTTATTTCAGTTTTTGAAAGTACTTGAGACCCAACTACCTTAAAAAATCTAATGTTTCAAATCTAATCAAAATTAATCATTTTGTGCATCTTTCCCCATTATCTCAATCTATACTTGCAGCTACAGTAGCATGCTCAAACTGATGCTTGTGGCCCAGCCCAATATTTTTTCAAACTCCTATTAAAAATGAAAATATAACATTTGGCTGTGAATTTCTTACCAGGAGTGCCAATTATTCCAGGGGGGCCAAGTGGACCTTTATCACCCTTAAATCCTTGTGGACCTGGTGGACCTAGGGGACCAATATTTCCTGGTGGGCCAGGGGGGCCTCTTGCTCCTTTAATGCCTGGAAATCCAGGGGTTCCTGTTGCACCAGTGTCTCCTTGGAAACCTGGTGGCCCAACTCCAGGTGGTCCCTGTATGGAAAAGTAAGATAACCAGTTAGCAAACTTATCATGAGTCACACTCATTACTGGTTTAGCAGGCAGGGACTGATCCAGCGGGCATAATGTGAGGGCTGCAAACCCCCTCCCTCCATCAGAATTTCGATTTCTTCTTAAGCAGAGAACTGTTCCTTTTTTGGCTTGGTGTCTTTTACAGGTTGACGCCCCCTAAATGAAGAGCCGCCTCTTAAGAAATTCTGTGTCCGCCCTGGCAAGCTGTTCCAGTAGGCTGTAGTCTAACGCTCACCTTGGCCATCATATTTGACTTGAACAACATTGACTTTCCATAGCAGCACAGTTTGTTCTATTAATTCCAATTTTCCTCCCTCCACAAAAATCAACAAGTTTGTTTGGTATACTCAGGTTTAGGTTTCTACAGGTCATTCTCTAGCTCTCTGCAGTTTTTCTTTCTCCATAAAAATCAACAAGTGTGCTTACAGTACTGTTGTTTGGATGAAAACAAAATAGTAACATAGCTTGGAGTGAAGGGGCTATGAACTAAAAACTCTATCAGGGATTTTGAGCTGTAAGATTAAAGGAGTATTGGAAATTGGAGTACTCACTGGTGCACCCTCCTTGCCCTGAGGACCAGGGGCACCTGGAGCACCAGATGGGCCAACAGGACCTGGTTCTCCAGGAAGTCCAATATCACCAGGGAAACCACGTTYTCCCTAAAAAGATAAAGAACACTTAAAATGATGAACTATTAAAACATTTTTTTAAGTAGGCTGYGTTAGATAACTGTCTTAAGTTTTGCCTTTATTAATAGTACAGGTGGCATGTGCTATGAATGCAACACCTCTTACGAAACCAACCCAGGTTGGATTTTCCTGCCAGTTGTACRTGAGTTTTTTCAACCTCATTATATATATAAATTTACAATGCATGAACCACCGTCATCAAACCTTCCACTGCATTTTGGGTAAAATTAAAACTGGTTGGGATTCAATATTGTGACAAACAATTTTTTTCTAAGCAAATAATGTATTTCTTATATATAGTGTGCAGTATCATATAGTAGATTAGAGGACTGGAATTAGAGAGAGGAAATAAAGCTCAACTTACCATTGGTCCAGGAAGTCCAATGTCACCATCTTTTCCAGGTTTTCCCTATAAAAAGAATCATAGAAACAGAGGATTAAAGCTACCCCAATTTAAAAAAAAAAAATACAAATAAGGATTTCAATTAATTTTACCATTAATATTAAATTCCGGCATTCATTCTTTAAAGTTTTACTCACCACTGGACCATCATTTCCAGGTTCTCCCTTATTTCCTTTTTGTCCTGGAAAACCTCTTTCTCCCTAAAAAGCAAAGTTAAGACAACCTTTAATGAGGTTTCAAAGAAGGTGAGTAGCACACAAAGAGTCCCAGAGTTAAATAGGTGATAGGTCATTGGTTCCGTGCCCTGACTTAGGTCAGCCAATAGGTTGTTTCAGGGTTGGATCTGTGGAGTTTGCCAGCCCTGACTTTGATCAACCTATAGGTTGTTTCAGGGTATTGCCCTGACTTTGACCAGCCCAGAGGTTGTTTCTGGGTTCAATCTGTGAATGTTCTAATGGCCTGACATCATTTGCCCAGAGTATTTTTAATACTTACAATGGGTCCATTAACACCTGGCTCTCCCTTTTCCCCTCGTGGTCCTGGCAGTCCCTAATTAGTATGATATAATTCATAAATTAGTTTCAAAAGAGTACATAATAATAATTCAGAATATTTAGATAACATACTTACCCTTAATCCAGGAGGTCCTTTTTCTCCTTTCTAATGACAGAAAAAGAAAAAAAATATTCACATTGTTTATTCTCAAATCATTATATAAATATTCTTTTCTGCACTTCCTATTATGGAACACAAAAATTCTCATAATCAATAATAACAATAACAATAATAATTATTATTATTTTAAAATAATAATAAAAAATAATAAAAAAAGTACAAAAATGGCCATTGAATTTAATAGCTGTTATTACAGTTGAGCTCTCACTGCTATATTCTTTTGTTTTATGAATCATACAAGTGAGGCTATCAGGCTAATACAATGCTTGTTGTCTCATTTGCATCTGATTTGCATGCRTCTATAATAATAATTGGTTTTTTTCCCCCTATATATGTTTTATTATTAATACTTTTTTCCTTATTTCTTTCGTCCTAGTACTTCACAAAATTATTTTTTACCGTAAAAAGATATATAGACCCCCTCGATAAGTTCTTGCTCTTGGGGTTAATATGTGATGAAATATGTTTAAATAAAAATAAATAAATAAAAATCTATAATATCTGCTATTGTTTACCAAGGTTGCAGTGGTGTTTCCACAAGTTGATGGTAGTATAGGATTTGGTTGTCCTTTTGGTCCTGGTACTCCTTTTGCACCCTTGTCTCCTTTACTTGCTTCAAAACGGATTCCCATTTCACCCTAAACAGTGTTAGAAATAGTAACAGTGTTGAAAACTAACATGGAACTACTGTGGTAACTATATTCAAGTCAACAACATATGTAACACCATTTTCAGGGTCCCCTTCCACGTACATTGCACCAATTTCCAAGGTATCCGATTGTTTCACCTATGCATTGGTTCGCCTACTGAAGTTCGCATACGTACTGTATATGAGTTCACCTTTCAAAGTTCAATTTTTTCATGAAATCTGATAGCTTTACCGCTTTCACTTGACAAGTCGTTACACTTTTGTTGTCACAACAACTTGTTCACAACTCATTCACTTGTTCTTGACTCATTCGTAACGTTTCTCTTACTTTACTCAACAGCAATCGCTTTCTTTTACCTTTTTTATATATTTRCTGTGTATTTCACAACTTTTCTTGGTTTACGATGTTGTCACACAATGCTTACCAGTTACTCGTTCGTGTCTAAAGTTTTCAATGTTTCTCTTACTTTGTTTGCCTTGCTATTCAAATAAAAGTTTTATTCTTTAAACAAGAACTATTTTTTCCTTTTTTAAAGTATATTTATTGTCTCACCCTTCATAGATGAATATTATACAATGCATTTGATACGTGGGCAAACTTCAGAAGGAAAACTTATATGTAGGTGAACTTCAGTAGGCGAACCAATGCRTAGGCGAAACAATCGTAAAGCATTTCCAATCCCGTAAAATCCACAATCAATGGACTATAATTTCGGACCTGTATAGGTTGTTTGGGAACATGCTAATGATATCCTACTTGCACTAATGAAATGTGCCTGCATCAAGCAAGGCCAGCATTTGATCTGTACCACCTATTTTTACAGGCACACAAACTTTCTGTATGTGAACTAATTACCTTTTTTCCAGTCGGGCCTGGTGGTCCTGGAATTCCTAATGGACCTGGAGGGCCAATGTCTCCTTTTGGGCCAGGAACTCCCACATCTCCTCTTGGTCCCTATTAAAATAAAATAAATAATAAATAGTTCCTGGGCATTATTAGAACTCAATGCTCTTACATATAAGTGTCTTAAGAGTCAAAAAGAATATATCAAAATATACAATATCATTGAGAGAAAAAAAAATATATATATATATATACAATATCATTGATTTTTGAGGGGAAAAAATCAGGATGTGAACAAATAAGTTTTAAGCGCTGATTTAAACGAGCAAATCGTACAAATAAATGTGTACAAGCCAGGAGTTTTCATGTTTTAGTGTATATATTCATGCATACTTTTTTTTTCTTTCGTATTTTTATATATTATTCTCTTAGCATTGTAATTAAGGAACAGATATAATAACATTTACTCACCTGGGGTCCAACAGGTCCAAAAGGTCCAGGTTCTCCCTATGAAATATAATGATATATGAGCATGATGAGCTTAGTTATTTCTCTAAAAGACACTCTTTTCAAATAGAAAAACATTTGTGCAAAAACTAAGATCACAGTTGATATTAAAAATTGGTTCAGGGTAATATCCTTCAGCCTGCTAAGTTTTAGTGACAATCTAATCTGTAAGTTTTATCAGTACAATACAGTTGTTAAGAATATTGATAAAACGTTTTATATAAAGGTTATAATTCCACTAGAAGCTTGACAACTAATGTTCAATCTCAGGGATGGCAGAGCATATTTTAAAGTCGAGGGCCAACAATCTTTTTTGGAGAACATTAAAAAAATTATTTTCTAAACAGAACTCAAACTAACCCTCCCCTAGCCTACTGGTTTGCGCCTGTCACTGTTAACTACGAAAATTAGGGCAAAATCCCCTCCTCCTCCCATTCCCCCCCAGGTTTAGCTGTTACTGCATTGGCAAATTGAAAACTGGATGTAGGAGTGACTGACCTTGACTCCTTTGAGGGTGCTAGGTGCCTCTCCTGGAAATCCTCTTGGTCCAGGTGGTCCTATGTTTCCCTAAAGTAATAAGAAGAATAATAGACATTATAATATATAGGGCAAAGTTTTAAGTGGCATTTTCTTTAACCAGTGGCATCATCTTCCATATCTCTTAATCAATGATTCTTCTTGCTCGGCAGAAGGCTACTATATATTATGCTTTATAAAATAGACCAAATACCATGTGATGTTTATATGATGTTCTTTGGATAATAATTATCAATTATTGTTTCTTTATCTTTTTGAAATTTAGTTGTTCCTATTCATGTCGATATGAAAACACTTGAAAGAAACATTTCTCCAAACAAAATCATTTAAACATCACATGGTTTGAAGTGGGTAATACACATACAAAGGTTATTAGGTCTTTTGCTTGCTATGATTTTTTTTTGCATGTTATGTCATCATGTATTGTGGTATTTAACAAAAGATTTCTCATTAGCTGTTGATACGAGCAGCATGGCTGTGGCATCTTTGACTTATGACACTCTTTGGAAATGATCAAACCATCAACCTGTACTGTGCCAGAAATACCAGGCATTTTTTTGCTAGTTTCCTGGATCCCTTGCTATATTTTACCCATTTCCTGGCTCCTGCAGATACCCTCCCAGACCCTGTTTAATCTCACCTTTACTCCAATACGACCAGGTCGTCCAGGTTGACCATCTGATCCTCTATCACCCTATATCACAGAAAAATGTTAATTACGAAAGATATATTTATGGCCTAAATTAGCTCGAGAGAAGTTCTAACTAAGTCCCTATTTACCTGGGTACCATTGCAACCAGGTTCTCCATGTTCACCTCGTGCTCCTTCATTCCCAGGAATTCCCTAAGGAAAAGAAAATATAAATGAACAATAATTAGCAGCAGTTATATCCTTGGTAGATCATTAATATCAACAATAGTATCCTTTTCATCAATACCATAATGAAAATCATATATCTAGTTATTGGCACTGTCCTCATTATAATCATTTCTGCYATTGAACGACATAATCATTACCATCACAACCATTGATCCTCATCATATTATACTTGTATTGTCAAATCATCATCATCTTGTCATCATTACTACCACAGTATTTTGGGATGTACATGCATTTATTATGTAGAAATTTCAGTGAAATTTCAATATTAGTTAAAATGTTTTCATATAAATTTTGTTTTACATATTCATGCATATATAATAAACAGAATACACATCCCAGAGGCTTGGAGATATGAAATTTATCTTCTTTTGTTCGAATTTGATATCTCACTTGTTAGAATTATCAATGATTATATTCCAACACCAATAAAGATAAATTATATATCTCTGCACTTTCATTATTATGCCCAATATAATATACCTACATTCAATATTATTGGCAAACCTCCAAATCAATAATAATTTATACTTACAGGGATTCCAGGTTGACCAGGGAAGCCAGGTCTTCCTACTTTACCCTAAAAAGACACACACAAACACTATGTACATTAGCCATACTTCATAGTCATGAAGTCTAATGCATGTCGCGCGGGTTGTGCTATATATATATAATTACCAGATTATATGTGTAACCATCATTGCTATGGCTTTTTTTGAAAGTTAAGCTTGTTTAAGACATCACCTGCTTAAAAACTTAACTGCTTTTTCTGCTAAAATTCATTTGCAAGATAAGTGTGAAGAAAAAGTTTAAGTTCAAACACAATAATAATAATGATAATAATAATAACAGTTTATCAGCATAATCCAAACACAATTTGGCTCTTACAATGCTAAGTATTAACTACTTAAAATTATGCATATAAAGACACATAAGCTAACACAAAACTCATAATGCACAATCTAAACACTTGATAAGAGGATATAACACAAAGTATGGTAGCTTACCCTTGGTCCTTTGGCACCTTCAGCACCAAATTCTCCTTTATCTCCCTAAATTTATGAGAAAATTGAGTGTTCATCAAAATGCGGAGAAAAAGTCCATAAAAACACGTTTTCAACCAGGCATTCCTAGCAGGCAGGAGCGGTTACACAGCACAAACAAAATGGCGGCAAAGATGAAAAACTTTGCAAAAACTTGCTGCGAGAAAAAAATTAATACTATGAATTCGTTTATGCATCTAACCTTGATTCCTCTTGGACCCATGATTCCTTCCATTCCTTGGAATCCCTGTGGAAAGGAAAGAAGATGCCAAATCGGTAAGCAACCTGTTCATTTGTATATGAATTGCAGTTTGGGCCATTTCAATGCATCAAATAAAGAAAAAATAATGTCTGACTTACRGGCAATCCTTGAACTCCTTGAATTCCTTGGAATCCTCTTTCACCCTGATAAAGAATAAAATTACGGACATTTTTATTATTTTTAAGGACTCTTGCTGTTGATTAATTTGTTTGCTGGGGCCTTTTAATGCTTTAGATAGGAACTTGGGGATCAGAAAAATAAATTTTTTCTCTATATATGACTTAAGCTTATATCTGTTTTGCTAAAATAATGCTCCAGAAATAATATAAATATTTTTTAAAATTCTTGGGGTGCATGTAATGTAATAGCCACCATTTTGGTTGTCTTTTGTCATGTCAACCAATATGGCGGCCATGTCTTTTATTCTCATGGTAAGAGATGCATGGGTTTCAGTGCCATGGGAATATGACACATGTATAAATATAATTGACGTCAACATCCAAATATGTTATGAATACTCATGTATTACCCTAGATCCTTTTTCTCCGATACATTTCGGGACACATGCTTGACAACCTGCACACTAAAAACAAAGCATTTCATACATTAGTTACTTGTAAGAGCATTTATTCCATTTATCTAAGCATTTTATTGTGGTTCTGTGTTTGGATATGTACAGTTATGTAGCTTTATGCAACACTGCTTGCAAATGGGCAGATTGCACTCTGTATCATTGTATAAAATAGAAAGAATAAAACAGGCTCTATGCTTGCAAAACTGCATGTAACATTAGGTTTCGGTATTGCTGCAATGCATGCAGTGACACATTTATTTCAGCATTTAGGCAGGTAGTCATATAGTTATCAAGAATGAAATCATGAAATATCTGCAAGACTAGATTTAATTCACCAATGCAATTTAGGATAGACTTAATAAGAAAAACTCTGGAATTATCTACATTAAGGAACAATCTACGCCAAACCATCATTTAAAATATTTTTATCATATTTTTATGCCATTATTGTGAACAATTTTGCCTGTAAAGAAGGATTAAGTTGATGATAAAAATTCCAACAATAAATTAGGTCAATTAAGTTCACTTAGGTTGTGTTTAAGTCAACTTGATGTCATAAAAATGGAGGTGATGAGTATTGACTCAATGCTGTCTGTGTCTTGCTTTTCATATTATTTTTTTAACATGTTAGTTATCTGTCCTTGGTGGCCTCGCTGGATAAGGGCTGTTGATGTAGTATTATGTTTATTTTTGATTGTAATATAACATTGCTATCTTTGTATAACTTCATAAATACATACATCTATAGATGTAAGGTCATGGAACATGTTCACATTTCTAAAGCTTTATGAAGTCTCAGGTCTCCTTTATTGAGAGCAATATGTAGTACAATATAGTATCTTTCTTACAGTGCAGTATCTTTCTTAAATCAAATCACAGTATCTTTCTTAGCAAACATAAATCACATCATCAAAAATATCTGTTCCCTGACCTCGAACAGCTCAGACGTTGTTTCAGGGCACTGATATAATTCAAAAGCARGAAAGAAATTATAAAATTAAATCCCAATACAGGGGTGGATTCAGGAATTTTAGAAGGGGGGTGACTATTACAAAGGTTTTAACAGGAACTCATGAAAAAGGGGGATGACTGTTACTAACAATGTACTGAGAAATTTGAGAAAAAGTGAGGTGATTAGTCACCTACTTCACCACCCCTGGATCCACCCCTGCAATACTAACACACATAATTGAATGTGCAGACATAAAGATCAAAGAATATATATATTTTTTTATAATCAAACTTGAAAATGAGATGCATGGAGTTCCTTGAGAACATTTAGTAGCTAAGTTGGATAAAGTTTCAGTCCTCCAGTCTACAAAGTTTTATTCACGGCTTTTTTGGAAAAGCATTATTTAATGGAGGGATTCTGTGTATAAAGTCACCATACCATAAATTATTCCACAAGCTAGCCATTTTGACTTATATAGGATTTTCATTTAAGTGTAAAGGAAGAGTTTGTGAAAACAGGGACAAAAAATGAATTAGAAAAGAAGAATGAAAACAAAAATTGGAATATTGGAAAAAGTCATTATTGCTGGGGAAAATTAATTTGTGCGTGTGCCTCTGTGGCATGAAATTTCCTGTTGTTTTTTACGATATCCGTGAGGAAAGGAAATACGGTTCATCACAGTGCCTCAAATGACTTGGATTGGTTTTCATGCATATGTTCACATAATCTCCAATAGAGCACGCCATGAAAAATCTCCGGTCAATTAGAATTCTAAACGTGACAAAATTTCCATTACCGTGCTGGCCAAGTTTGCAGATAATCGCTGCCAAACTTATTTTGGCACACGAGCTGAATGACGATGGGAAAACATTTAATCTGATGTACGCAACATGCCGTTTGGTCTCGCCCGTCTGACCGCAAGTTCTTCATGGGCTGGCCTTCCTACGTGCGGTTGAGATTTTGGATTAATTATATTTCCTATCCACTTCTAGAATTAACGTCTAATCCAACTTTTTGAAAGTAACTAAATCTCAAAAAATATTTTACATTGTATCGCTTGTTCATGAAATTAGAAGTAGACAGATATGCCAGAATAAGATAACGAGCAGGGACCAAAAGACCCGGCAAAAGAGGTACTTAGCGAAATAAATCAGTCTGAATATTGAAGCGAAGAAAACAACGTTAAAATGTAAAATCTTTTCTTACTCATAACTGAAATGAAGGAACCCAAAAAAATTTTTATAAACAGAACATCATTTATTCCAAAGAAGAGTTGAAGAAAACTCTTTCCTTTGCTAAAGACTCGTGGAAAAAAAGTTTAGTTTTAGTTCAATACTTGCAGATTACTTACTGCATATCCGAAACTTTTAGGAAACAAAGCCCATTCATCTTTATCTTTGTTGTTTTTTCGTTTTTGTCTGTTTACCTAAACCCGGCCAAATACGACCGCAACTTCTATTTTTYCCCCCGCAAGCCTTGGAATACTTAGAACAAGGGTGTATCCTCGTTCAATAAATAAATAAGCATTTTTTTAAATTAAGGATTCCATCAAAAAGCTACTTTTAGTGTTGTTTATTTTTTGAATGCCTTTAAATCTAATACATTAAAATTCCTTTGTAGGCTTTGGGAGCCATCTATCGACAGTATGATCGACCTTCAAATCTTGACAGGCAAAGTCGCCATTATATTTCTTATGCACGAAAAAAGCACACGCGCAGAGGAAGCGGGAAAATCTCACCGCGCCACGCGCGGGAATCCCTCGCTAAGAAACAGTACTTTATCCACAAATATTTAACATATTCTCCAAACTTCTCTTGCCAAACATAAATAATTCTTATTGCAATTTTAATTATTGTTAATCCCCTCAACTCTAATAAGTTCGTTTGAATAGAAAATTATTCGTTCGAGATATGGAATTGAGGATTTCCAGTGTGTGTGTAAATATAGTCAGCGCGCTTAGATATTCATATTTTACAAAATTCGCTTTCTCTCTCTTAGACATAATTTATCATAGAAAGTATTTATTACAGTTTCAGAAGACTAAAGATTATTAAACGTTATCTTTCGCCTCGACAAGGCTAGCACCTCCCACCCACCAAGAGGCAAAACCATGTGGGCTTCATAAACGTGTGAAGTTTTCAAGTAGAATACACACAATACTTGGTTACGTATGGGTAAAGATGATCGCAAAAATCAGTCTAAAGCAACAGATATTCAACTTCAAATTATAGAGTATTCTGAGCTTTTAAGGTTATAGGCCACCATACGATCAAGAACTTTTGTTTTTAATGTAACACACGGTCTTCAACTGCAACATTTAGATAAAGTTCGTCGAACTTTATTAATTAATATTCATTTCACGTTAATCATTTTTTTGATTAAAGTTCAATAAGTTTAGCTTTGATATAATTTGCGAGATTAAGCGTATTTTAAACTTGAGTTTCTTTCTTTGCCATTCAAAGTGAACTCGTRTCGTGTTTCGAAAACTGCGCGTGTAGGTCTCGAAGCAACTAAGACCTTCACGCATAAAGACGAACRAGAAGCATATCGAAGAACACTAAGGAGTAATTCGCCTTGAAAATTCATCTATATTAACACTATATACATACCGTTTGTGAAGATACTGGACTTGCATTGAAGAAGAGCGCGTAGCTGAGCGCTAGTATAATCCCTAATAAACTTGTAGGTAACCTGTAGAAGAAAATCCATCGAAGTTGTTGAACGTGAACTAACTTTTTACAATCAGAAAATCCCCGATAAACTTTAAATCAAGAAAAATCCAACTTACCACATTATAAATATTCTTTATATGATTTTACAACAAGTTTCCACAGTCCTCTATACGAGCATTATTTTAATATAAAGAAGAGAATTGACGAACGCTCGGCTCGCACAGAGGTCCAGTAGCCGAATATGTGGAGCTTGAGAAATTGGGTCCTGTTTCAAGTTGATTTGAAGGCGGATAGGGTTACCACCGCTTGACAGGATGAATTTTATGGGTGTCAAAACAGAAATGTCCCAGGAATGTCTTGCGTCGTTATAACCAAACAAATGGAATCGATTCACCGGATGTGCAGCTATCCAGCGATTAGGAGGTCAGTTTAATCTAATTATTTAGACATCAAGACATCATTTCATGACTGACTGGGCCGGGACTCTTCAGCAGTGGTTACCGAGGAACCGCACTTGCAGTGTGTTGGAAAGTCCTCCTGTTATGTCAACTAACATTCCTATACCAAAGCTATTTAAGTGTCAAATATTTACGGGAAGCCATTGATGTGCTATTGGCTATCAATTGAATGGGTTCCCGATTTAGAAATGTGATGAATCATTGAATGTACTGTTCCCCGTCTTGCAACTGTGTAAAAATAACGGAGTTGTGAAATGAAATATTTTCTAGGTTTTTCAAACCTCGCATTGAGAAACGCAGGGGRAAAAAACACTTTGTATATTTGTATCTTTTCTTTTATAGTTTACATTTTCAATTTCTTATCGCCATCGCACTTTATTGGCTTTCTTCGTATTTTCCAATTAATATCATTGGTGTATTCGTTTTTGTATTTTTTCAAACAGACCTAGAAAGATCTCCACTTTATTTTCTACTTCTCGATTTGACAACTTTATACCGGCTTGTTTCAAGTGCACTGTCATTCAACTTCCCCGTGGACAAATTCAATCCCTCAAGTTTCAGCCTTGACCCGTAGGGCTTCAGCTGATGCAGATAACGTTTCTTCGTCAAAGATTTAGCTCACGAAAAGAATTCCACACACCAAGGACGTGCCCAGGAAAAGGTTGACACTTTCTTTCTGAAATCTTCCACAAAACCTTTGGTTTGACCTCTTTTTACCATATCCTGTTTCGAAGAATACCTGGGAGATTTTCCGGCTGTGTGCTGAAAAGGTGCATAACACGGTCAGTGTTCCCATTGAAGTGTTTCGTGACGATTTTCAATATTCGTAAGCACCAGCGTTATCCCAGTCTAAACGACTTCAAAACTACAGGGGTCGCTCTACGAAGGCAACCCGCAAAATGGACTTAAAATTATTACGAATAATTGAAGGGTAGTGAAGTGATGTGAACTGTTTTGAGTAAACTTTAGGCCCCTTTTTCCCGTGTTTATTTAGGTTCTAATTCTTTGTTTATGTGAGTCAAGAACTGCAAGTCCGCGTGTGGTCCCGAGCCTAGTTTTTAGGCATTTGTTTGTTGTTTCATCTGGGAAAAATCTGTGTAAAAATCTGTGTTAAATGAAAGATTTTATATCGCGTGTTTTATTATCTTGGTGTAATTAGACTAGGGCGGCAGGCGAGCGTTGAAGAATGATCCAAAATTCAAGGGTGTGGTCCTCAAATGAAGCTAGGATATTCAAGATTAGCACTTTAATGTCTTGGCTCACTATCTCCAGACAGGAGTTGGTCTGTTTTCGGAAGCATTCAAACCAAATTTTAACATCAAAAAGTATTTAAAAAAGTTAAGGAGTGTTTGATCAGGGGTCGTTACTCCGCCTTCCATTCATAAAGACCTCCAAATATGCACAGTCGTTGATGCGGCGACGACCAGCAGAGCAATTGAAAGGCTTTCCCTCTACATATCAAAGGACTATTATCAATAAGTTGTTTATCGAGCGAATAAAAATAGACTAGAAAACAACCGCAGCAGCACGCTGGCTCGAGAAAAAACGGAAACAGTTCATTCGCTAGTGTCCGAGATAAGCCCAAAATTTGAGCTTTTACTTTCCCGCGAAAATATTTGAGGCGAATGATAGCGTCTGGATATTGACAAATCTTTAGGACCTTTGTCGGAGAAACCGCTTCACACCTCCTGATATTTGTCGTGAATTTTGCAACTTCCTGTGAATCCATCCCGCCCTAGGTAAAAACTGTGATTTGACACCTGGATATTTGGCCTGTCAACCCGCAAGACTCTGATATTCAAGCCAGTACCRCTAGTGTCGGATTGCATGACAGCTATCCAGCTTTCTTAGCACACTGACGAAGAAACGATACTCCTCAAATCTCCAGCCTTTTGTATCTCGGCTTTTCGATACCTTTGCTTCTGAATTCATGGTTTAAGCCGAATAGCTAGAACTTTTATTGGAGTAATTATTTAATATGAAGTTAAGGTGAGAGTTGTAAACTTTCTCTCGTCAAGAATATCTCTTAGGACTTGTGGTTGTGTTGGACAAACTTTACTTCTCGCGAACGAAGATAGCAACTCACCATCTCTATATTCTCTTCCAGGACGGTATTTCCGTGCCTACTCGGACTTCTATTAATTTGTCTGGATTATACACAGGTAAGAAAATGTTCTGTGGAAATACCGAGTTTGTTTTGAATGTATTTTGAAAAGGTGATTTGTGATTTGCAAGGCTTTCTCCCCGACAATCCATTCGCGTTTTGCGTGTAATATCGCGCGAGGGGGAGCAAACAACCTCACATGTCGATTTAGCGGTACGTTCGTGAAAAGAGGAACACCAGGTTATTCTAATATTAAATCACGAATTCTTTCTACCTACTTGCGCCTTTTCCTTCAGTATTTTCCATTTCTTAGTTGTTTTTTGTTTTTTGTTTTTTGTTTTGTTTTTTTGCAATTGGCATTAATTTTCATCGAAAAATTTTATGACAAAGCATTTTTCGGTTTTAGGAAAAACTAAAGAGCTAAGCCAGTAACTCAGCATTGTTGATAAGTGTTGTTCTTTTTCTTCTTGAAAATCATACATTTTAGAGCACAAATATAAAGCTTTTGCTCATCGAAAAAATCCATTGAAATGTTACTTTGAAATGTTCAGCTTTACTGTACTGGAACAGTTTAAGGGCTTTCTAAAATGAGACTTATGAATGGATTTCTTAATTAACAAACACACACAACTAAAATCATTAAAATTCACAGAATTACACAAGTAATTGTATCATCACTCTAYAATCCCATATAAGYAACTATTGTATTATTTTCAAATTCTCTTTCCTGTCCAAWTTAAAGATTAATTTGGATCGTTTCCATTCRCATTCTTTCAGGGGAAAACTATGACTTATAGAATCAGTCTAGTATAGYTTGGGATGATATAATTAATCTGCAATAGGACTACATGTCTGTCCAATTCAGAAATAATTGAATTCAAAAAATTCCTCGGACTGCCAAATTAGACTCAGCCTCTTCCAATTTTGTCAGTCCTTGGATTTTTTTTTATCCATTATTTTCAAATTGGACAGCATGTAGTCCTATAACCTATACTTATCGCAGGTAATAAAAGTATTTTTGAACAAGTTCCAAGTATTTCTCAACAATAAGTTTCTATAGAACAGATAGAAGCTGAAATATTTAAGCAGTGACAGAGAAATTTGTTTCAAGCACCTCTTCTTAAATGCTTATTTTTTCATGATTTCTGTGCATTCCTTTGCTGAAAAACAATTACTATCAAATTACATTCAATCTATCAAGAAAAACTCCTTAAAAATATTGTCAGTATGAATAACGTAGAAGTCTATATTTTCAGTCGTTCAACCTTAATTCCAGCACTATTTCAAGTACTTTAATTTAGCCTTGTCTTGGCCTCTTGAAATYGTTTACTTTTAATGTGAATCATGTTTATCTAATCTGCAAGTACAAAAATACAAAAGCCTGCTTTTTCATCAACAACAAATTCATCTTTTAGGATTAGTTACACAGTATTAGTTACTTGATTCAATGGGTGCATGTTATTTTTCTACTTCAGAATTTAAAATAGATTTACTCTTTACTCCAAGTGGAGGAACTACTTTATACAGTAATGTATAGTATATAGTATCTATCATCGTTAAGTAATTTTGCAGACAGCTTTGAGAATATCCTCTTAAATGTTAATATTTGCGTCACAATATTTGACGTCAGTGACTTACTATGCATTATTTGGTTACGAGTCTCACTTTTGATAATAATTTTGATAATAATTTTAATAATTTGCTACGTCTGAGAATAGAACCCACCAATTAGATCATGAACATTTGTATTTTTTAGAACAATTCAAAAAAAAAAAAAGATTTTATATTGATTTTAAGATCACTCACCCTCTCTCATCTCTCACTGCCAAAGGTCAACAAACACCTTGCTCATTTTTGAGTTATCAGAAAATTAGCCCTGATTTTCAACTAATCTTTTTTCTCACACATCTTGGATGAATAAGCCAATTGATCTTCAGTAAAAGAATTGACAGATATTAAATGGCTATTTTGAAAAGTCATATCATTTGCAGTCTGGGAATTTGTTTCTGGCATATCCTTTGCTATAAYGTGTATCTGCTGCTGGCTATATATTTGGTAAAAACATATTTGAGGTAGTATGTATGGTATGCAAAACTAGTACAAAGATTTTTATGTTCTTCATTATGACATTTGGACTTATGTCAGTGTGAACAAATCATTGTATCCCTAGCATTTAACATCCTTATTAAAACCTTTCAGTAGAAATGTAGTCACGATTCCATTATCTAGATTCTCAAATAACAACCCCTCCCCCCTTCTCAAATAAAAACGAGTTTATTTTGATAATGGCGAGGCCGTGTCTTCAAACAATGGTTTCAAGTTGAGGTGTTTGACCAAGATTCCTTAAAATCAAAGCATAGCTCAAGCTGATAGTTTCAAATGTTTCCCCCTTTAGTAGGTCAAGTACGACCAATAAACTTTGACTTCTTTTGGCAAGAATTTTGAAAAGGAAGGAAATCCTAAATGAATAGGAAGCACTACTTTTTAACCACTTTTTGTGTTTCCTTTATTTTAATTACCCTCTAAAAGAAAAACAAATAGAAAATAAAGTCATACTAACATAATAGAATAATACATAATAGAAAATGGCTTGAAGTATATGTGACTTGAAAAAAGGGGTCACCAAAATTTAATATTTTCATGCCTCACCCTCTGTACGAGGCACGTATAGCCCATATACTTTTATTACTACTGCAATAGACCAGTTTCTAATTCCGAATTACTGCTGTATCCTTGATTACAGATTCATTTACACAGGGGTAGGCTCACATCAATTATGTTTAATGCACAAATACCAACAGTAAAGTAAAGAATGCACAACTTACTTCAACCACACAAACRCTTTCAAACTCGACGGACCTTGACTGCAACACATAAATGTTTTGCACAAAATCGAGGCAAACCMTATGAGTCTGTAATCAAGAAACACAGCGGTAATTTGGAACTCAATGGTTCTATTTCATATTAGGTAATAAAATCTTCATTTTTAACCTTTTTGTGGCGGCCTTCCATGCATGGCATTGAAAGATTATTTTATTATCTGTTCACCCCTATTCCTCTTGTGACCAGACCAGATCACACCCTTAACCACAAAATTTAGATTAATTGATCTACCATGTATCTCTGCATTTATAAACAATTTAGCAATTCTCTTAATTACTTGATTAATTTTCCACAACATGTCTATTAAGAATTATCTAAAAATACAAAACCAGATCGTTGGAAAATTGATTGGAGGAAACCTAAAACCCAGACTTCCTGAATTATAGTTTGTTGTCTGGTTTTTATGGTTGTACAATTATTAAAATAGGTTAAATTATGGCTCTCATTTGCCCCCAGGTTTTTAGTAGTTTCTAAAAAGAAGTTTTTGTTTTGAGGTGTGGTTTGAATGTCCCACCTTTTTCATACAGGTCAACGGAGTGGGTGGAAAAGGTATTTTCTGCTCTCCGCRCCCTGCAGATTAACAAATGAGCTTGTTGTCTGTCTCATCAGCATTTAGTGTTTATTTTAGTCTTAAAAAAATATATTGTGTTTGTTGTTTGGTTGGTTTTTACTTTGAAAATTTTAACTAATAACTGTAGACCCCTTGCATTGATGTCTTAGAGGAAAAAAACGTTGTTTTGTCCCCAGAACAATTCCTCTCTGGAATCGGTGTAACGGGTCAATTCTGAGGTTGAGAGAAAACTGGGTCGACTTGGCATTGCAGTGCATTGTGGGAATGTTAAGGAGAATATTTCCATCTTATTTATTTTATCCCCTAAAACAGTCCCAAGATGCACTACAACGCCATCCCGAACCATTTTTCCCCCTCAACCTTCRAATGGCTGATATAGTTTAATGAGAAAACCTTAAAGATGTTACCCTAGTACTCCTTACTTTGGTACAGTTGGTTTAAGTCAGAGTGGAATAGGAGTCCTCATTTAATCATTTTCTTTGTGTCTACAGGCACAGGGTTGTTCTGGAGCAAGCTGTCCTCCACAACCTGATGAATGTAATTGTATTAAAGGACGCAAAGGATCAAGGGTAYGTTTGAGTGTTAAAGTATTGGCACCAGAATTGAAATGAGGTCATTATGATGGCAATAACAATGATGATGATGCATGGATGATGATGATTGTGTTGGTATTCGTTGTAAATCCCGATTAGATATTGATCGCACAATCATAGTGATGGTGGTAATGTCATTATTAATTGTTAGTGGTGATAATGATGATGGTCCTGTATAGTAGTGGTCGTATTGGTAGTGGTCTTGCTAGTGATTGTAGTGATGATTTTGATGGTGATGATTATACATGGATGGTAGGAATATCACTGAACTAGTGGGTAACTACCTTTTTTTGTGCAAAAAGTAAAAAAGCAACATTCAAAGTTGTCAAAAATGTGTCATGTGAAAGCAGTACATGATACAGCTATTTTTAACTCTGATCTGTGAAATAAACAGAAATTAATTTTTCCGAATTTAATTCCAAGGGTCTTTCGCCCGGAATAACCTCGTTCCCAAGCACTATAACTTATCTATATTTCTATATCTTCATGTATTTCATTAGTGCCATGCGGTCTACATATTCTCATCTGTGAAATAAACACTTAAGAAACAGTGATCGTCCAGCATATTTATGCACATTTGTTTACTGATGATTTACTGATGATTTCTTGGGAATTTCTATAGGGAAGGCCTGGAGAACAAGGTCTGGAGGGACCACAAGGAAAACAAGTGAGTTTTATTTCTGGATATTGAATGATAATCATTATCATTATTGGATCAAAGTATATATAAAAGATTAGACTTTAAGATGAGAGCCCTTATCAAAGTCCACATTCCACAATACAGCCTTTGAATTACTGCTTTTTTATAAACATGCAAACTTGGTAGTTTCAAGCCAATTTATACTGAAATTCAGTTTCTTGCTGCTGTCAATCAAAACAAATCAGTCRGTACCTTTCATATTTTTTGACTGGAAGCAGCGAAAAGCCAAATTTCAAAATGCAGCTCTTAGCTACCGAGTTCGCATGTTTATGTAAATAGCATTAATTCAAACTAATCAGTTGATTCCTTTCATATTTTTGACTGGCGGCAAAGCATGCAGCTACCAAGTTTACATGTTTACRAAAATAGCAGTATTAAGGTCTTGAGCAGCAGTTCAAAGTTTGAATGGTTAGAGATCAGAATGATAGCCACACATGGTGTGACCTTTGACATTTCATGCATTCATTGGATTCTTGTCGTCTTTTTTCATAAATACCTTGCATATTTTGCTGAGAATTTCTTACATTCTTTTAATGTTTCCTTGCTTATGTTGTGCACATGTYTTATGTATGCCAGCATTTGAGTTGAAGCAGATACAGTACTGGGATATCACTTTTGTTGTTTCCTTTCATTTCATCTTTCATTCATTCTTTCGTTTTGACCCTGAGAGTCTTTGAGCTTCATATACTGTATGAGTGATGGCTGCCTACAAATTAGTTGCTAACCTAATGCTTTCATTTTGTAAGAACTTCATGTAAATCATTTCATAGCCTAGATACAGCAGCCCAACTTAAACTCTGGTTAAGACTAACTGTCAATCAGGCAAAAATCTCTTTTTCTGGGCCTTGCATAATTGGACAATAATTATATATAGTAGGCTGTGAATGGTTGCTATATCAAATCATTCTTACACACATTCTGATTGGTCTGGTCTGTGTGCTTGCAGCAGAGTGTGATAAATATGCAGCAAAATTATAAATCAAAAATTTCACAGCTATCTGTCAAGAGATAAGCCATGGTTGGCCATGGCATTTTGCAGATAGAGCAAGTTATTTTCATTTCATTAATTCTGCTATTGTTTTTTAGGGCCTGCCTGGACCTGATGGACTCGAAGGACCAAAAGGAGTGAAGGTATGGGAGGGGAGGGAGGAACCATTCATTATTCATATGTGGAGGTAGGAGAGGGGCAATTGTTTCGGTTCGCAGTTTGTCTGGTACCCAGAACCCAAGTTCCATAAGCATCATAGAAGGGGCACAGGGTACCCAATCTCTAAACAGTCCAAGTCCTAAACATGGTGACTGTTTCATTGTTATTTATATCTCAAGGGATTTTGAGTTATGTAGTTTGCACCCCAAGAAWAAAAACTGACCTTGTCGCTGCCACACCTGCTCCAATAAATCTATCCCTTGATGATCTATTAGTCATCATTGTTTGTGCATTATTTCATTTTTCCCCATTATTATTATCCAGGGTGAAGCTGGAGGTCAAGGTCCAACAGGACCCCAGGGAGAAAGGGTAAGTATCATTAAAGCATATACCATATGACTGTGAAATCTCRAGATACAAATGYAATAGTCAAAAGGATCTAATGGAATAAACATTGAGAGAAAAATATAAAATATGCCCTTGACGGGACTCAAACCCACTACTCTTTGATTTCTAGTCTGCTGTGTTAAAACAAATACTTCTACTCAATGTACTCAAAAGATGTTTTAATAAAGGTTTTATTTCTGATTCCCACTGACTCTCATGTGCACTTTCTGTCTAGCAAAGTCTATTTCTCTGGCACAGAAGTTCCCTGAGATTCCTATTTGAATTTTTCAGAGCTTTGGTTTGTAAATGCATTTGTATSCTATAGCCTATATAATGTCTCCAAGCAGTTTGGCTCAACAGGGGTCCAAAAAGGCCATTTTTATCAACTTCAAATGCTTGTAGAAAGTCAGGCAATTTTTTTAAAATGAAAGTTATTGATTTTCAAGGAGTCCCATACATGGTTTTTATATGCACTTTAATGAGTCGTGCTGTAATCTTTTCATTTTTAGGGAATGGTTGGTGTTCCTGGATTTGCTGGAAATAATGGAGTTCCAGTAAGTAGGGAAAATAGTTATAAATTTCATAATCTTCTGTKTATTGTAGAGCATTTTCACTCATGTGAGAAGACAGCTATATTGGTGTTCCAATCAATAGAAGATCTCTTATCCCAAGTGCCTTTGTGAAATTATTATTGCTTTATATGCATCTTTTTCTAATGATACTTCTGCTACTACTAATACCAATACTAAGGTGTTGCTTTAGCATTCGATAAAGATGTTTTCGCCTTATTTGGCAAATAAAAGTAGCCAGTTGTAAATTACTCAGGAAGTACCCCAGTATTTTGAAGAGTATCTTTAAATTTATTGAAGAATTTAGAACTAGATATCACTAAAAGGCATGAAGTACACTCTACTTAAGTGCAATTGATTTTTCAATTTTGGAAAAAAATCTTATTTTAAACTGTTTAAATGAAATTTTCATATATCTCACTTGCAATTCTGGAACACTAGTGAATCATCGTCTGGATGCTGCTATTGTTGGCATGGTAGAATTGTTATAGAGTGAAGGCATTTAACCYGTGAAATAAAAAATACTAGTCAACGTGTAATAGTCAAATAGACACAAAAGAAGACAAGGCAATAGAMCTATCCCGAATTCGCTTGACTGGTCACGAAACAATGGTTTCAAGTCGAGGTTGAACTTGATGAATAAAAGGATCAAGTTTAATCTYRACTTCAAACCATTGTTTTRTGGTCAGTCAAGTGAATTCAGGATAGGTCTATTAGGGTCTACTATTGTGTCTAATATCTATTTCACAGGTTTAATGACTTCACTCTATAATTAATGATGAAAAGAGATTTAATCAATTTACTTTCAATATTTCAGGGTGTCCCAGGCATGAGAGGTCCAAAAGGATTCTTTGGATTGTGTGGCTGTAAAGGAGAAAAGGTTTAAGAACTGCTCGTTTCTTTGCCAATATATCTATTTTTTTGGCCAGGATTTACTTTAATCTTGCAAACACCCTTAACAATATGCTTTTTGCTATCCACATATTAGTGCGATTTTACTTGGCCCAGGAAAAAAGCCGAAAAAGTATAACCTACTAATGGACAATATTTCCATTATTTCCTCTTGTTTTACTTTAACTGTAAAACAGAAACTTGTCACTGCTTACCACCACCRCAAAGTAAAGCAGTGGCGCAGCTCAAAGCTGTTGAACTGAAAGCATGTGAGAGTACCTCTGGCATCTGCTATTTCATCCCTAAGTACTGCTCTAACCAGCTTGAATTAGTAAGGGTAGATTTGAGAGGAGGGAGGAAAAGCCAGAGTACCTGAAAAACCCTTGGAGTCAGAAAGAGAACTAACCAACTCAGCTCACATAGGTTTACTGGGATTCAAACCCTGGACTTCAGAGGTGAAAAACAAGCATCATAATCATCACTTTTTATTAGTTATCTTACAGGCCAAATAAAATCACTCTGCCTCTTTTGCTTTACTGTTCCTCTTCCTTATGACTGATGCCAACACACTGAAAAATATCTTGGAATATCAAGTCTGAATTTGTGATATTTTTATATGTTAGGGTTATGAAGGCATTGATGGCCCTGACGGCCCTCCTGGACCCCCTGGTCTGCCTGGAGATAAAGGTTATCGAGGGCAACAGGTACCATAAAATAACAGAACAGTATTGTCTACATAGGCATCATAAACACATTAGACATTTAATGGAGACATATTAAAGAYCTTTAGCACAACATTCTACATACGTGATACTCGCCGCAATTCTCAAACTGCAGTTCGACGTCTGCAGTTTTCCGTCAAACTTTTGACTTTGCACATATGTATGTCTAAAATTTTAATTTTATTACAAAAAAATTATTTTTAAAAAAAATAGTGAAATTAAATATATGATGATGCAAATAAGGTTTACAGTTTGGACGCCTATGCACTGACTCACCTACCCCAAAATAGCTTTCATATAAAATCAAATTAATGCATATGTGAGTTCCTTGTAATTCAGTGAAATTTCGAAAATCTTAATGATGAAAAAAATATAATTTGTCTTGGTTTTTAGCTCTCTTTGCAATTTTTAATGAAATTTAAATGTCCCTTAAATGAACGTGTATGATGCTTTTATTATTCTTTGTAATTTTTGCAATGATAATTGATGATTGATAAAAATGATTAATATTTCTATTTAATAGGGAGAACCATACAAAGGAACAGTTGATGGAACACTTATTAAAGGCTCTATGGTAACTAATAAGAAGCCACAATTTTTCCTAGGGATAGTACAGTAGAGTTCCACTATCTCATTTTGCAATTGCTAGGCCTCACCACATTAGTCTCCAGAAGCATCAAGCACAGCTATTTTTTGTTTCCATTTATGATTCAAGCTTATAAATTTATTATTTTTGCATTTTAGGGTGAACGTGGCCCACTAGGACCTGCAGGACCAAAGGTACAGACCTGTTTAATTTCGAAAAGTTGTTCTTGGGAAGCCATTTGAGTGGTAATTTTTGAGGAGCTAATTAGCATCACTCACTTAGAGGAAACTTTGTGTCAATTTCTCAGGATACCTACTTAGGGACGGACCATTAGATTTTTGAGGTGGGGTGGGGGTTGGGCAATTCACCCAACCCCCCACCCCCCTCAAAAATCTAATGGTCCGTCCCTTAGTACAGCAAGCCAATGTAGTGTCTCTCAGGATAAACCATGCTCCAGAATATTTATTGATGCAAATTATAACTTTTGATACCATATTTGGAATTATGAATTGTTTTCAAGGGTAGTGACTTCCCTAATATATGAAACTTCTCAATGAATTTCGTGACTTCTAGGGGAGACTTCCTATTTCCTTCAATCAAGCATTTCAGATATCTGTCTTCTTATCTAGTTTTTGGAATTTTTGAAGTAAGAGGATGTGATTAACTGGGAAGGGATTTGTCAAGAAAAAAGTTAAAYATTCTAGAGAATTGTACAAAAGAAACACTTATTGACAGGAGGCCAATTTAGTCAGTGTCTTTCGAGAAAGCCAGTGTAGTGTCAAGTGTAGTGTCATTAACTTGAAGATGATTAATTTCTTCTACATAGCATGCTATCTCTGTTTGTCATTTTTACATATGCTGCTCACACTCAAGTTTAATATAGTGTAGTTAAAATTTGGTCATGCTTTGTTTCTTCTTATTTAAAAGGGACCACCTGGACCAAGTGGTGATTATGGACAATCTGTAAGTATATTACCTAGAAATGCTTAGCTCTGCCAATATTCAAAGCCTGATTAGCACTAACCCACACTAGGTTAGATCAGTTGGTAAGAGCGTCAATCAGTTGTGTGGGAGGTCGTGGTTCTAGCCTCAGCCGGACCAACAYTCAAGGTCTTAAAAAAAACTTAGGAGAAGGTGCTGCCTTTGTAATCGCATCTACAAATGGTTAGAACTTCAATTCTCTTCAGACAAGGACTTCAAACCTTAGACTCCATCTGTATTCACTATATAACCCTGTATAACTTCAGTGCCCTTGCTAACACTACAGGGCCCATATTATGTTGTGGTGTCCCTCTCCTCATGATAAATATTTAATTTGAAATGAAACCATTTTTTACTAATATGATGAGGATAACAAACTAATTAATCAGTGTTTGTTAGCTTTGTATTTGATCTTGAAATGTTTTCTTTTTCCAGGGAATGATAGGGCCCTCTGGTCCAGTGGTAAGTTTGAATAAATAATAACTGACTGGAAAACTGATGTGACAAACCTGATTGACTGACTAATTGGCTGACTGATGGACCGATCAATTGACTGACTGATTGAGTCACTGACTGTAGTGTGAATGAGTGATTGATTGATCAATATTTTAATGAAGAAATAGAAAATGTGTGTGCTTGCTGTGTGCAGTTCATAAGCACGTTGAGGTTGGCAGAACGAGAGAGAAGTGTTTGGAGAAGCACAACACTTAGAACAGTGCTTCTTGACAGTTCTTAAGTGTTCTGCCAATCCATAAGTGCTTTATGACTTCACACAGCACAGCACAGCAAGCAAGTTTTTTTCTTTTATAATATTTAAATTACAATAACCCTTATTTAACTGAATGACGCAACTAAAAGTGCAAGTGAATGCTGTGTGCACAAATCAGAATGCAAGGTTTATAACAGTTATTTTATAATGATATTTTTTTCAGGGTCTACCAGGACCTGAAGGTCGCAAAGGCCCAATTGTAAGTAGTTACCTTTAGTGGCAATCGTTTTTTGTGTTTTGAAAATAAACTCTTATCCAATGCWATGACCACAAATAATCATTGTTGTTTTTTTTGTCTTCTAGGGTGAACCAGGCCTTCCTCCCATTCCTGGTTTACCTGGAGATATTGTAAGTAATAATATACTCTAGATTCAATTTCTCTTTTGCTCAGATCTAGAGTTAGCCTTAATTTTGTGTAGATATTCATGTGTGAATTCAGTGAAGGTTTGTGAAATTTCAAAGTGTTTATATTTTTGAAGTTGTGCATTCTTTACTTTAGCACTGGTATTTGTGAATATTCTGCACTGAAATAAGGCTAACCCTGAGTAAATGAGTCTGCGCCATTCAAGGAACACAGTCCCGCGGGGGGGGGGGGTACTCCGCCAGAATTTGGGTAGGSGTGTTCTGTTGGGATTCTGAAAGGGGTACCCTGTTTATGATAAAWAAACTAAAATTTGTGGACCCTGTTTATGACAAAAGATATAATTTATTGCACTGAGTTCCTGTTTCAACTATCATATCATCTTGTGTATCGTTTTTTTACGACCATGATAACCAGTTTCAGTCCTTGCATTTTTCATAAGAACAATAACCCTTCCAATGTACTCTTCCATACTTCTTGATTTTTGACTCCAAACAACAATTTTACAGGGAGATCCAGGTGATCCAGGTCCACCAGGAGAACTGGAGTTTCTTGGCCTTGAAAATGTAAGTAGGGATCATACAAAATCAACTTCAAAAAATTTGTGTAAAAATTATAAGATAATATAGCTAAAGTTTGTGCACTTAAATTCTTTTTTAGGGAGAAATTGGAGAGCAAGGCCAACCAGTAAGTGATAAAGAATATTGCCTCTTTGAAGCCTAAAAATATTATATCATTTTCACCACTAAAACAGCAGTTCACCACACAAATTTGCAGAGGCTGTGGTACTGAGCTGTTATTCTGGGAGAAATGTCACTGAAGGGGAGCTGAGTAGGATTAAGAATCCATCTAGCACTGATTTGTATGGCAGACATAGCAAATGAGGCTAAAACCTAAGATTTTCTTAGTTAAATAGGCAGCTACATATATGCCAACCTGGGGTATGCAAAGTGCTTCTTGCTTTTGTATTACACCTAAAAAGCATGCTAAAATTCTGTGCTTACTTGTTTCATGGCTTTTTTATGGTGAAAATAGTTATCCAGTTTAAGATCATTATGATACTTTTTTAAAGGGAAATCAGGGTAGGCAAGGAGAAAAAGGTGAGTCATATGGCGATCGTCCTGGCCCACCAGGAATACCAGGTGCACCTGGAATAAAAGGAGAGTATGGAGAACCTGGCAAACCAGGACAAAGGGTGAGTTTCAGTTCTTATTTCTTCTTCTCTCCTTAACCTCCCTCCTTCCTTTACTTTCTTCCCTTCTATTCAGTCTTTCTCTCCTTTCTTCCCTCTTTCCTCYGGGCCCCTCCCCCTCAATCTCTCCCCCATTTATTTCCTCATCCATTTCCATTTTATTTCTTCTTTTTATGTGGAGTACCTTAAGGTTCAAGCCTTGGGTCTTGAAAAACTGCTGAGGTATTCTCTAAAATTCTGAATAAACCTTTTCATTTCTATCAATCTTATTTTCCAGGGATCAAAAGGCAGAAATGGTCCTGATGGCCCTCAAGGCAAAAGAGTGAGTAAAACATTTCGTGTGTCAAAAGATAACTTTTTAAATAAAATAATACAACTTCTTCATACCCTGCTTCCCTCCAGAACCCATCCTTGAGCTCCATGATACAGTTATTCTCACCATCTCTTCTCAGGATATGTGCCAGCCTGTTCCATCTCTATTTTGGTAATGATTAATTATCATTTATTTTATTATTCTCTTGTGTGTTTTACAGGGAGATACAGGAACCCAGGGAGGACAAGGCCGAGCAGGACCACCTGGACCTATTGTACGTAGCACTCCAGCATATCATTTTAATCTTTAATTGAGCCTAGCTGTTTCACCAAGTGAAAACCAATGACATTCAAAGCCCCTATAATACCCAAAATAAAATAAAAACTTAGTAGTTGCTTCACATCCCTGATTCTAGGTGGAATCTAGAAAATGTTGATTCTTATTGAGGTACATATAGGAAAGATAGAGAATCTGGAGAAAAACCTTGAACCATGACTGAGAGGCAACAAGCAATAGTCTTCTTCACAGTTCCCTGCACCATCATGAAAGGTAGCTGTGCCTTTGAATCAAAGCAAGATGAACGGTGAGCTTGCAATGATAGAGACCTTTTTTAACACCTTGGACAACTGTTCACATGCCTCTATCATTTCAAGCTCACCGTTCATCTTGTTTCAATGCAAAAGCACTGCCTTTCAAGATGGCACAGGGAACTGTAAAGGGAACTATTCTGCAAACATGTTCAATGATTTTGGGAATGAAATAGATTAGGGTTGCTGTAGTGAGAGACAAACACACACAGCTACACCAACCACCATTAGGATTTTTCATATTTTTTGTTGTTGTTGTTGTTGTGTCAAATGTAAAGGATCACGATTTCAATTTTAGTTTTCCACACTTTTTCTTGATATTTGATATTTTTGACTGTTCATTTCCAGGGTAATGTTGGTCGACCAGGCCCAGAAGGTCCTCCCGGAATTGTTGGACCTAGAGGAAAGGTAAGTCATTTAAAAATGAAATATGCTGACTCGTGTTAAAATAATAAAATAACATTTTTCGATATGTCACTCAGTACAGCTGCAACACAGATTTCTCTTGCCTCTCTTGATCAAAGATAWTTTTTTGACTGGCAGTAATGGAAAAAAACAACAAATTTCAACAGGCAACATGCAACTAAACCTTATAGAAGATGTTATTAAATCCTGTGCATTTTGTTCTCAAGGGTGGTGTTCCTGGCCCAAAGGGCATCAAGGGAGCAAATGGCACAGTTGGATATCAAGGGCCTCGGGGAGACACTGGTTCAGAGGGATTACCTGGTCCTGACGGGCCTATTGGCCTTGGTCAATATGGTCCACCTGGAGAACTTGGTGACCAAGGACCACCTGGTCCTCAAGGCCCACCTGGTGTACCTGGTAAGATTTGGCTGTATGGGCGAAGGGAAGGGAGAGTTCTGGGAGTATTTTTATATTGTTGATTTGAAGTATGGGATTTGTAGAGGATTGTTTTAAGATGAGTTAGTTAATAAATTGTCATATGCTGGTCATCAGGTGTCATTGGAATGAATGGTCCAATGGGAGTTAAAGGAAATGAAGGACCCAAAGGACAACCAGGACCAAGAGGTGACCCAGGCAAACAGAGTGATGGAGCAAGGGGTATGAATGGAGCTCCTGGTCCCAAAGGGTACAAGGGTCCGATGGGCGATCCTGGTCTAGAAGGACAAAAAGGTCAGTATGAGGCATTATGTGTCGACTGGCATGTAGTAGATAGGTGGAGATGATTGCCATTATCTTCATCTTCTTTATCAACATCATCATATTCTCCACCACCATCATCATATTCTCCACCACCATCATCATATTCTCCACCACCATCATATTCTCCACCACCATCATTATATTCTCCACCACCATCATATTCTCCACCACCATCATCATTTCTCCACCACTATCATCATTTCTCCACCACTATCATCACATTCTCCACCACCATCATCACATTCTTCACCACCATCATCACATTCTCCACCACCATTATCACATTCTCCACCGCCACCATCACATTCTTCACCACCATCATAACATTCTCCACCACCATCATACCATTCTCCACCACCATCATAACATTCTCCACCACCATCATACCATTCTCCACCACCATCATAACATCCTCCACCACCATTATCACATTCTCCACCGCCACCATCACATTCTTCACCACCATCATAACATTCTCCACCACCATTATAATTTTCAACACTACCAACAGAGCAGTATCATATGACAGTCAGTAGCCCAGTCCTTTGCTAAATAGCAAATTATTTATGTCATGAATTTAACTGCAATGTTAATTAATCAATATAAGATTTTGTATTGCTCTTATGGAGCCAGCCAATAAGAGTTTAAATTACATTTCAAAAAATATATAAATATTTTTATTTTTATTTTAGAGTACCCCTCTGTAAATCAATTCCCAGTGAATTTGGCTTAATCATTATGGATTATTTATTCTTTTCTATAGCTGAACCACCATTTTGCCCTGAGGGATCTTGTCCACGGCCACTCAAAGGCGAACAAGGTGCCACAGGAAATGTTGGTGAACCTGGACCTGAAGGAGATCGAGGAAAACTAGGAGCCAAAGGACTGAAACAAAAATGCCCTAAATGTCCCAGTGGACCCCCAGGTCCAAAAGGAGATAGTGGTCCCTCAGGTTTACCAGGAGGCAAAGGCGAAAGAGGTGTTGATGGCCCCCCTGGAAGGCAAGGACAAGTTGGTAAYCCTGGACTAAATGGAATAGATGGGCCTCCTGGACCTAAGGTATTGTAATAGTTCATTTGAAGTTAACATTCTTTTTTCAAGGGGGTTGGGGGTGATTGAAAAAAACAGGACAACAGAAAACCTACCAAATCTTACGTGCCTGCCATCTCTATGTTTTGAATGTGTATTTGGTTATATTCACCAATTCTGAGAACATCCAAAAATAACCATTCCGGTGGGAAATACATTTTGTACCCATAGTACATACACCCTATCACATTCTTGCCTATGAAAGAATTAAAAAATCCAGGAAATACTGTAGCACTTCTAAGAACAGGATATTATTTGGTTGCCGTAAATCCCCTATTTAGCCCACTGGGGAGCTTCTGGAACTACACAATATGTTCATACGTGCTTATTTTACATGTATATTTTGTGTTTCTTAAGTGACAATACCTCCCATCCCTCAAAATCCTGGTTATAAGTTAAYGCCACTTTATTCTTCAGGGTGTAAAAGGAGTACCTGGAATACCAGGTCGTCCTGGACCTAAAGGTGAGAGTGGACAAAGAGATGGAGATGAACCTTTTGTAAGTCCAGGCCTACCTGGTGACCGTGGACCACCTGGTGAACAGGGTGCACGTGGACTCCCAGGCCCTATTGGAGTTGATGGTAATCAAGGGCCATTTGGAGATCCAGGGCCAAAAGGACGCCCAGGAGCTCAGGTAATTATTGGCCTTTTGGAAAGTCTTATTCTATAATTCTTTGAATTTGCTTCCTGGTTAAACAACATCAGTTTTCACAGTCCTTCTGACTTTAATCTAAAGCCTGGAGGTTGAGAATTAATGCATTGAATTATCCAGTATCTGATCCATTAGGAAGTAGCAGTAATCCTAGTGACTTTTTCAATTCCCACTTTGTTTCATACCATGTCCATTGTTGTATATTGTATCTTATTTGGAATTGCCTCTTCACTAGTCAATTTGTATCCTACAGGGAGACCCTGGAAGAGATGGCTTTCCTGGTCAAAGAGGAAACCCAGGATTCCGAGGACCTAAGGGAAAAAAAGGAGATAACCCAGACATAGTACCAATAGATGAGTTTGGACCGAAGGGAAATCCAGGTCCAGTTGGGGGTCCAGGAAGTATTGGTGAGAAGGGAATCAGAGGTGAACCGGGAACTGGACCACCAAAACCACGTAAGTCACAAAAATTGATAAAGAGCATATATTCTAAAATCCTAATTATGATCATAGAGATAACAAATAGCTTTGGTCACACCCTTATGGGCACCCTTAAATCAACAGCCTTCATAACTGGCAGATTTTTTTTAGACTCTTCCCTACCTCTAGAAAGTTTTATAAGAAAACCAAGAACCTTCACTCATTCATGGAAAATCTCAATGGGGTGGCATTGGTGGCATTCGCGGCTAACACGTCATCTTTCACCTCTGTGAGTCCAACTAGTCAGGTCATTGGTTGGAGCACTGCAGTCGATACGCATGTAAATTGAGTTTGTTTGATGTGTTGTTCTCTCCTATGCTACGAGGGTTTTCTCCGGTTTCCTCCCTCCGTAAAAATTGATATGTGAGTTAAGCGTTGTGTGCATAGAATATTGAATGAAGTGGTAGTGGGTGTGMGYGAAAAGTGTCCCCAATTAGTGCAAAAGCACTAGAACAACTAGATACTTAAATAAAGATATTTATTTATTTATTTTAATGACACAGACCTTCTCTGTTGAGGTATATCTCATTTTCTATATTAATATAGATTTATGCCATGTGTTTTCCATACCATAAAGAGGAAAACTTTTACAAGTCCAATTATGATTGTCTATAAACTAAGTCTTTTTTCTTTTTATCAGAATTATTAAAAGCCAAAGGTGTAAAAGGAGATGCTGGTGCTCAAGGTAAGCAAGGACCAAAAGGGGACAAAGGTAATGCTGGCAATAATGGTACTGCTGGACCCAGTGGTGAAAATGGCATTCCAGGTCTTCATGGTGCTAATCTTCCTGGACCTCCTGGACTTATTGGAGAAGAAGGTAAGCTGAACATCGGCTTCATTGTTATTATCATTCTCAGCTTTATGTCATTATCATCCTTATTGTTTCACTACCATCACTGATACCATCATGGTCGTCACAATGGACTACATCTAGGATATAGAGTTATAATAGATAAAGGTGATCAATGTGGAGTCTCTGAGCGTAATATTGACTTTTATATATTTGCCCACTATGTGCCACACAATGCCTTGCAATCCAAGATGGCACTGTATTGTTGAATTAGTCTATTTCCTTATCTCCAGTTTTACGACTTACATCAAGCATGTATCTTCATCATTATCATCATCATTATCATCATCATTATCATAATTGATGACTGATTGTTCATTCAATGTTTTCAGGTGCTTTTGGATTTCATGGACCTCGTGGTCCACTTGGGATGAAAGGTAATATGGGAGCAACTGGTAACCCTGGCAACCCTGGTCTTCCTGGACCACCAGGAAGAAAGGGAGAACCAGGTAATTCTATTCCAGGCCCACCTGGAGAAGCAGGAGCATTTGGACCAAATGGAACTAAAGGTTAGTCATTTGGATAGCTTATTTACTCTATTAATATATCTTTAAGCTGAGCTACAAACAGCCCATTTATCATGCATATGTAATGTAATTAAAACTATAGTACTATTGCCGGTTTTCACATGACGTCATCAAAACATAAAAATTTGAACTATTGATGGTATAAACGCATTTCTCAAATATGGTTTAGAAATCAGTGTTATAAGTCACGAGAAAAAATCTCGAGTCATTTCGATGTTTGGTTCTCGAGTTATGAAGGTAGAGTTTGTGTCACGCAATACTGTCACTTCTATCTAAATAGCGATCAAAATAGTAAAATAATTTACTCTAATTGAAAGATTTTCCCTTAGACGCATTTTAAATATCTATTTAAAGTATATTTAAGTGAAATATAGTCAAAATTATTAAATATTTCATCATCTTAAGCCTTTRAAATTTCGTCCGCCATGATGGTGTACCAACTTGGAACACCAAGATGGCCGCTCCATACATTTTAACCAAAAATTGCRTCATGTTTACTCGCCTATAGTTCCGCAACGAAATATTTTACAACCTYGAAATATGGCCAGAATATGTAGTTTTGATCGCTTTACAAGATTATGAAACTTGTATTTCATTATAATGCGAATTTACGCTTTTGAAATTCATGATGACGTAGGTGAAAACCAAGAATACTGTACTTCATTGTTGTTAAATTGTTAAATATTATGTTCAAGCAATTAAGGCTCAGAAATGCCCATAAAAGGCCTCATAAACAACACTGGGTCCTGAATGAAATTAATGATGGTTTTGAATAAATGCTGGTGCAACCTGATGGTAAATTATGCTGATGATTAATCATTTTACAACTTATAGTACACTCAACAAAATTACTCGACTCTGATTGGTCGAGAGGAGTACAATTATAGCGTTAATTGTACTCCGTAGGAGTACCGAATTAAGTCACTATGGCAACACGGCCAAAACAATGTCAAAACAATTATTTTCTATCATTTTGTACTTAAAAAACATAAATAAGATTTTAAAGCCGTAAGAACTAATCTTTTTTATGCATTTCACTTGCGCGATGGACTGAATAGACAAACATGAACGGCGTCGCTTCGCATTTTTTACTGAAATTTTGTTGAGTGAACTATAAACAAAAAATCACACGATCTTCTCGTACAATTTGGAATTAATAGACACTCGTAATGTTTTGAAAGTTCTTTAATTGCACTCGCCTAAAGCTCATGCAATTACAAGAACTTTCAAAACATTATTCGTGTCTATTAATTTCCAAATTGTACTCGAGATCGTGCGATTTCCTATACTTATTTCATGAAAGTATATATATTATTTTTTAATGCTCTTTCATAAGATCTTTTTGGAGACAATTTGAAGATAATTTGGATAAATACTTTCACAGGGATATTACTGTAACCTTGAAAGATGTTTTTCTATATTCTTTTGAAGAAAATTATCAATAATTATTAATTGGATATATTAATAAGGATGGGGGCTTTTACAGGGCTATTACTATAACCTCCAAAGATTTTTTCCCTGGTATTTTTGAAAAAATGTTGGAAAAAGTGACAAAATGTTGCCTTCCTTTAAAATGTTTAAGGGATGGATCAAATGAAAATATCAAACATATTTATATATTGCAAAGAAGAATCACTGATCTTCTATCAAGTATAAGCTGTGGAACAACTTTTGTCTCTGACAACAAGATCTTCTAATAATTATATAAATAATATGAAAAGTGGGAATATATTTTGATTAATGTTAGTTTTGATTGATAAAGAAATTTAACCCAAGTCTAGTTAGTAATCTTTCTCATTCCCACTTATTTTTCACATTTCTCAGGACCGCCAGGTGATCCAGGTCCCCTAGGTAGACCAGGTTTACCTGGAGCAAAAGGTGAACAGGGACCAATTGGACCCACCGGTCCACCTGGCATCGGAGAAAAAGGAACCCAAGGATTCCCAGGTAGCAAAGGATCAAAAGGAGAACCAGGTGATAAAATCAGTGGAATTCCTGGTAATCCTGGGATTATGGGTCTTCCTGGAACTCCAGGTAAGAATTCAGCTTTTGGTATTCTAAAAATGAATGATTGTATTTT